ACTGAATCCAGGCCCTCCGAATTGGAGGGGAGACATCAAGTGGGAGGAGATTCCTGTTCAAACCAGCACTCCTCTCCCCCTTTCCACTCTCCAATCCTATTTCCACCCCCATTTTCCTTTTTTTTTTTTTTTTTTCTCCTTCCTCCTCCCGCCTGGAGCTGCCTCTCGGCCCTCTCGCTATTTAATCTCCGTGTCTCTGGTGGACTCGGGAGGTTTGCACAGCTTCGTCCTCTTTGCACCATCTGCTGAAAAGAATCCGTCTGTCCTTCTGCCGCTCTGTCCGGCGGCTCCTCCTGCCATCCTCCCCCCAGAAAAAAGGGGAAAACGGGGCTGCTGCTGCTGCTTGTGAGCGTCCAGAGGAACAAAACCCAGGAGGGGGCTTCCTTTTTCTATGGCAGGCTTGAAAGAGCAGCCCCCTGTGTGGGGCAGGAGCGGGATGCAGAGACGAGGGAGGAACGTGGTTAACAAAAGCAAGCCCAGGCCAAGGGGAAGATTCCTCTCCTGACTCCAAAGCTGGCCGCAAGGAGCCCGCTGCCATCCTTCATCCCATCCCTTGCTGGACTCCCCAAAATCTGCGATCCAGGCGGGATGGCGTTGACTCACGGTGACCACGGAGAGCAGAAACGCCGGAGCAGCGACCCCAAAACGATCGCCAGCATCGGAGCCACGTCTTCAGAGCAGGTCCCCAAGCCAAGAGACCCGGGGAAACCCTTGGTCCATCCGGGCTGGAGGCGACCCCAGCCTTGCCAGCCGCGGTGACGGGGTGGGGATGCTCTGTCCCAAAGCACAAATCCCTTGCAGCCACGTGGCTGTTCGGTGCCGAGGACCGGAGGGGAGGTTTTGCCTCCCTTCCTCGCAGGAGGAGAGCCTCGAAGGGGGCAGCGTGGTTCATATCCAGCTCATAAGCCTCTCAGAGCTCAGGCTCGAGGACTGAGATTCACTCAATTAATTTTGCTTTGGCAAAAAGTCCATTTTTATTGCTATTTCATGCCTTCAGTATAGATTTTCCCTGCTCGTCTCAAAGGGATAATAAAACCCGACTCGTTCTTTTTATAAAAGTCTCACACTCCCTCTCTCACCAGGCTCTGTGTTCCCCAGCTAGAGATGTAAATTTAAAGGGGAAATGCTGTCACTTAAAACAAAACAAACCCAAAAAAAGCAACTCAGAAAGCCGGGCTTTGAGCATATTCCAGCTCTCAAAAACTAGGCCGTGCAACCGAAGCAAAACCCAGCAGCAGAGCGGGCTCCGGATGCGATCCCGGACCCCCAGCGCCTGCACCTGCCTCCCCCCCCTCTGCCCTGTTGGTGCCCAGGGAAAATCCCAAACCTGTGCGGTGCTGAGCAGGGAAAACGTGGGTTCTGAGCGTGTTTCCAGGTGTGCAAAAAGCCCTGACACCCGCCCCAGCTTGGGCGCATCCTGCCCGGTCTCCAGAAGGGTTTATCCACGGAGCATCCCCGTGTGAATAAGGGAAACCCTAATTCCTCTGCCCCGTGGGGACAGGACATGAGTGGAAACCAGGCGGTGTCGCTGCAATTGGTCACCAGTAAGTGGCAGCCACCCCTTGGGGACAGGGCAGCGTCCCCAGCACCGCTCTGTGGGAGCAGCTCAGACCCACATATCCACCAGGACGGGCTCAGGCTGTTCCCTCCTGCTCCGGCCGCGCGTCTGAGCCGGTGACGTGCACAAATCCGCCGTCTCCGGGACTTTCCTTGCCTGGCTGGAAACCAGGAGCGCATCCAAAACGGAGCAAGAGGAGATGTGCACGTGCCTGCGCGCTGCCAGCCGCCGTGCCACCGCCGCAGCAGCCGAGCCCTCGGCCGCACGTGCAAATGTTTCTTCTTCTCCCCTTCCTCCTCCCTGCACCCGCGCCCTCGGCACGCCCCGGCCGCGGTGAGCTCAGCGCCCTGCCTGCGTCTGCAGCGCCCACGGCGAGAGGAAACCCGCAGCTCGCCCTGTTCCTGCAGGTGTGCCTCCAACCGCCGAGGGGCTCGGGGCAACTCGTGCAAGGGACGGGGAGGAGAGGAAAAGAAGAGGGTGAGGAAACCCCCGGCGATGCCGCGCTCGCCGGCTAACCGATGGCCCCGTCGCCTCCGGGCGCAGCGCGCCGTGCCCCCGGCTCCATCGGTTAAACCGAAGCCGTGCCGCGCTTCCTCTGATGGCAGCACCAACCGTCCTTCCCCGCCGCAAGCTGCCGAGCCCCAAAATAATTCTGCAGCCCTGCCAGGGCCGCGCTCCGACAGCTCCCGTGTCGCAGGAGCAGGCAGCCGGAGGGGGCCTTACGCTCTCCTGCAGAGCCCTCGCCAGAGCTGGCCCTCCAGGCTGGAAAATCCTTCGCGAGCTGTGACAACCTCCGCAGCTCAGGAAGAGGCGAGAGATGATTAAGGCTGGCTGAAATCTCGCAGGACCCTGCCGGCTGAGAGGCCCCCCCTGTGCACGAGAGAGAAACACCCCGGGGCTGCTCCTCGCAACCTGCGCCTCCCCCTCACCTTCGCACGGGGCCGGGCACGGAGCAAGGCCAGGAACCAGGTCACCGCCGCCCGTTTCCAGGCAGCAAAGGTTTGGAAGAGCAGAGGATCATTTAGCAGAGCGCCAGCGAAGGTTCAGAGCAGAGCCTTCAAATTACACGCTACAGAGCACTTTCCCTGCCTAAAAGGTCTCTGAAATGACTGTGGCGGCTCGGAAACGCAGCGCTCTGCGTGCAATCGTTCCCTGGGGCTTGCAGAGGAGACGGAGCTGGGAAAGGGGAGAGGTGGGACCGCGGTGCCCGGCACGGGCAGCCCCTCCAGCAGCCGAGGACACGCTGCTGCTCCTGGGCACCCAGCACGGCCCCGCGCCGCTTCCCTAAAGCTCCCCGGCAGTTTCTACTGGTCGTGCTATTTTTTGTTATTGTTGTGCTTTTTTTTTTTTTTTTTTTTTCCCTTTCTCATTTCTCACTTCCTGCCTTGAACTTCACACAGCTCCCCGGCCCCGGAGCTGCTGTTCAGGGCTTTTGGTGACCCCCAGCACCACGCACAGCCCCCCACGGAGCCCCCCCAGCACCACCAGTGCGCTCACCAGGCCTCCAGGTGATGCCACGGGGCTCAGACCTGATGTATGCCGGGGGGAGAGCAGGGAGCAGAGAGCGCTCAGGGGGAACCTGTCCTCTCCATTTCCCTTCCCATCCTTCTCCAGCCCGTCCCCCAGCAGCTCGAGCTCCATTTTCACCAGGCGGTGACAGCCACCAGCAGACCCGCTCTGAGCGCGCAGCCCCGGGGCACCACACGCAGCCAGCCCCCGCCTCGCCACCCGCGTGTCCCCTCATCCTCTCTCACGGGTGACAGCTCCCACATCCGCAGAGCCACCAGCACGGTGCTGCTCAGCCACCCGGGGTGAGCTGCCACCCCAGGAAAGGCGGCTGCAGCGTCCCACAGCCCTTTGGGATGCCCTGCAAAGTCCCAGCACCCGGTGAGGAAACTCCTGGAGCCTCCAGCAGGCTCCGGTGATGCCCAGAAGCTGGAGGCGAGCTGGGAGAGCCCTCCAAAGGTGCTGGCACCACCAGAGCCGCCCTCCCTTCGCCTCGCACATGCAAAACCCTCACTGTTGTTTTGGGGAGGGCAAAAAACCACCGCTTGGGGAGGTCACCAGAGGACAGGCAGCCTGGGGACCGCTCGCCGCCAAGGGGAGCGCAGGCAGGAACCGGTGGCCACAAGAAGCCTTCGCCAAGCCAAATCTGCTCACATCTAAGGGCCGGCACCATGCTCGGTGAAAGGCGGCGGGGAGCGAGCGCGCACCCCAGCAGCTCCCCGCTCTGACGTCAATGAAAACCTCCGGCAGGTCCGCGACGTCAGCCGCGACGCATCGCGACCGGCCCCAGAGCCCTCGAGGTGCCAACCCCCTAGAACTGGGGGGTCCACGGCTCCCTCTGGACCCCCAGCTGGGAGAGCACCCAGGGGGGTGAATGCTTGCAGGGGGTGGTGGCAAAAGGGTGGGCACGGGGGCAATTGCAGCTGAAAGGCAGCTCCAGCAGAAAGATCTCCGGGGGGGCGCAGGGGTCTCAGCCCACCTTGATGCAGGGGGGCTTCAAATGCACAAAGTTGCATCCTCCTGAGCTGGAGGATGCTGCTGGGGGGGGGGCACGGGGAGCCTAATTGCTCCTCCACAGCCTGGGGGGAGGCAGTGAGAGGTTCCCTGGCCCCTGTGCCATCACCGAGCTCCAGCCAAGCTTGTGCCTGGGGAGAGGGGGGGTCCAGAACGGGAGGCGGTTGCAAATGCAAAGCACGGCACGCGCAGCGCAATGGGAGCACAGCCTGAATGCAGCGCAGGGGCCGCGGGGATGGAAAGGGAAAGAGGAAGGGGAAAGGGAAAGAGAAAGGGAAGAGAAAGGAGAGGGAAGGGAAGGGAAGGGAAGGGAAGGGAAGGGAAGGGAAGGGAAGGGAAGGGAAGGGAAGGGAAGGGAAGGGAAGGGAAGGGAAGGGAAGGGAAGGGAAGGGAAGGGAAGGGAAGGGAAGGGAAGGGAAGGGAAGGGAAGGGAAGGGAAGGGAAGGGAAGGGAAGGGAGGGGAAGGGAAGGGAGGGAAGGGAAGGGAAGGGAAGGGAAGGGAAGGGAAGGGAAGGAAGGGAAGGGAAGGGAAGGGAAGGGAAGGGAAGGGAAGGGAAGGGAAGGGAAGGGAAGGGAAGGGAAGGGAAGGGGCTGCAGCACACACCACCGGTGCCACCGCGGCTCCAGCAGCAGCAGCACGGCCGCAGCCGCCAGCGCGGTGCAATCGCAACGCGACGCCCCCCGGCTCGCCGCCCCGCGCCTGTCACCCCCCCTTCCCCTTCCTTCCCTTTTCCCTTCCCCTTCCCTTTTTCCCCTTCCCCTCCCCAAACCTCCCTCTCTATCCCGGGCCCTCCCCGGGCGGCGCTCCCGGTGCGCAACGGCCCTGCCGGCGGAGCGCATTAAAAAAAAAAACCCTTTTCCTCCCCGGTGACCCCCCCACGGTTCCTCCCCGGTCCCCCCCCCGGCTGCAGCAGCCTCTTACCGGGCGGGCCGTGCCCCGCTGCGTCTCAGCGGCGGCGCTGGGCGGGGGTGGCCCCGGCGGCCATCCCCGGGCGGCCGCGCCGCTGTCCGCCGCCGTGCGAGCCGCCTCGGCGGTGTCAGCGGGCGGGAGCCCCGCGCGGCGCCGGGAGGGAGGGGAGGAAAGTCGGGGGCATGACCGAGCGCCGTCGGAAGTGCATTCGTTGCCCGTCGCCCTCCCCGCGACGGCGGCGACATCTGCCGGCGGGGAGCGCGCACCGCGAGGCGCGCACCGGGCTGCGCGCAAAAAAAAAAAAAGGGGGTGAGGGGGGCGCGGCGCAGGGAATCGCGGGGTAGAAAGGGGGGAGGGAGGGGTGCTGGGCATCGTGGGGTGGGTGTGGGGTGATGGGGGGGTGGGGGGTGAGGGGGATCGGGAATCGCGGGGGGGGTGTGGGGTGATGGGGGTGAGGGGTACTGGGTATCACCAAGTGCGCGCGGTGCACGGGGGGTGATGGGCAGCGGGTACCGGGCATTGTCGGCTGGATATGATGTGGTGGGGGTGATGGGGACTGGGTACTGGGCATCGCCGGCTGGATATGGTGTGCTGGGGGTGATGGGCACTGGGTACTGGGCATTGCTGGGTGCCCTCGGGGTGCTGGGGGTGATGGGCACCATGTACCAGGCATCGCCGGCTGGATACGGTGTGCTGGGGGTGAGGGGTACCGGGTACCGGGCATCACCAGCTGCACCTGGAGCACTGGGGGTGATGGGCACGAGGTACTGGGCATCACCAGCCATGCACCACGCTCGGGGTACCCCCGGCCACACGTTGGGTGTGATGGGCACTGGGTATTGCCAAACACACACCGGGTATCGTACGCCAGGCACGCAGCACTGGCTGCCATGCACTGGGTACCCACAGCATGGTGGGTATGGGTACTGGGTGGCACTTACTGGGCTGCATGCAGCAGGAACTGGTGCCAGGCACAGCAGGGGGGAGCGCACTGAGCACCGGGGACCAAGCACCAGATCCTGCAGCAAGGTTTAGGTCTGGATTTGGAGCTGGGTCTGTGCCTGGGTTTGGATTCACGTTTGGTTGAGGGTTGGGCAACGCGTGGATCTGCACTTGGATCAGGGTCTGGGTTTGGATTGGGATTTTGGATCCATGTCTGGATCTGCACTCAGAGTGGGATTCAGCTCCTCATCCAGATCTGCTTCTGCATCTGAATCTGGAACATGCATCCTTCACAAAAACACAGAGGTGGCACTTCTGACACCCCCCCAAGCACCCTGCAGCAGCCCCACAGGTGCACTGAGCACCACCACGCCACGGGGCGCTCACCTGCTTCCTGGTGAGGGTTTGTGCACCGTGTCCCGAGCACCACGGGGACCTCCATGGAGGATCTGGGGGCTGCAGCAGCCATGGCAGGAGCCTTGGGGAGGGACAAGATGGCACCGGTCCCACTCGCCTTGGACGGTCACCAGCCATGCGTCTGGGGCTGAACGTGCTCCAAGGAGGGGCCGGGGTCAGGGAGGGGGATGAGTGCAGGAAACATATTAAGTGAGGAAAATTGGCTGCAGGCAGCACTGCTGCCTAGTGCTTACTTGGTATTTTCCTCTCCGTCAGGTGTCTGCTATAAGCCCTTTCTGGGTAGCGCTTGCAGCTGGTTAACTGTTTGTGCTGCAGAGGGGCCGCCAGCCTCCAGCACCCGCTCTGCACCAAGCAGGGGGGCACCCAGCACCCCCCCACCGTGCTTGTGGCCCCTGGAGCTCACGCCCGGGTTCGGCCCCAGCAGCTCGTGCAGGTATTTTAACAGGGAGCTCCTGGGCTCTTTCAGCCCAGCTGCTAATTTGTAATCCCGTTCTCCTGGTAAAATAAAAGCCTCTCTTATTCCTGCGCGCGAGAGCCAAAGCAAAACTATGAGGAAGTGCCCTGTTTGCAGAACATGCTGTGAAACGCACAAAGGAAACGAAGAGAAAACAGCGTTTTGCACGTTTTTTAGCCTCATTTCAGCTGGGACTTGGAACCGCAGAAGGGAAATCTTTTCCAGCAGGATGTGCATAGCAAGGGGGGGGGGAGGTGGTGCTGAGCTGCTTGGCTGCTGGCGTCCCTCTGGAGCAGGGCCACCTGCCTGCCGGGGCACGGCAACCTCTGCGATGTCCCCAGGGGGTGCCAGGTCCCTGGGGGTCCCGGGTTGCTGCGGGGGCTGGAGCCGTGTGTCCCCAAGGGGCCGGCGGGGCACGGATGGAGGCGGATGGCAGGAAATACCTGCAGCTCCACCGCGGCCCCGCCAAGCCCAACAACGGGGCGCGTGTTCGCAGGGCGGCCACGGCGGGAGGAGCCTCCGAGGGACACACGGGCCATTGTTCCTCGGGCACGGGGCGGAAATTCAGCTGGGCCCGTGGTGTGACGCTGCCGGGCTCTGGGCTCGGGCTGCGAGTGGGACCGAGGAGCTGCCAGCGTGGGTCAGGATGGGAATGGGTCAAACGCAGCGCCCGGTGGCTGAGCTGCATGTGCCGGCGGTGGGGCAGGCACCAAGGGGGCTCGCTCGCTCCTTGGCACGTGCCTGCAGCTTTTTGCCTCACCAAAGCTCTTGCAGATACTCATCTTGTCCCCTCTCAGAGCTCTGCTGTCTGTCTGTCTGTCTGTCTGCGCTCTTGCCGTAACCTGGAAGGACATCTCTCATGTGGTCTGGTGCTTGGCAGTTCCAACAAGCACTCCCTGGTGTTTTCCTTTCGCTTGCACAGCGCCTTTTACCACTAACTCCCCCCCAATTTCTTAGTAAAAAGCAAGAAAAAGCCTTGCAGAAAGCGCCCAGTGCTGCAAATCCCTAATTACCCTCAGCTCCTCCTAAAAAAAAAAAGGGATTCCCATCGAGGAGCACCGCTGCCAGGGGCAAAGGGCTGCAGGCACTGCAGGGCAGCCAAAAATGCTGCTGCTCCCTGCCACCACTGTGAGGATACTGAGAGGGTTTCATCCCGTTGCAGCTCTCCCAACCAAATCCCAAAACATCAGCACTCGCCTTCCCCCGGCTTCCAGAAACGAGGGCGTTTCTCGGAGGCAGGCTGCGAGCCGGGGGCGAGGAGAGGACGTGCAGCTCTCCTCTGCGGCCCCCGCGCTTTGCCCTTTCTCAGGAACTGGCCAGCTTGTTCCCATTAGGAGGAGCCGAGGATCCAAGCAGTCCTCAATGGCCAGGAGAGGATTTGCTGATCGTTCCCTGGGATGATGGCGAGCGAGGTGCCTGGCACGGAACGATCCTTTTATGGTAAAATTAAGGACGAGTGCTTGTGCCGATTTGCATCTGAAGTTGATTGATACGTGGCATTAATGCACACGCAGATAATTTTGTGTTTGGAGATCGCTGAGCAAGGAGGAATTTTTATTTGGGGTCAAAGATAAGGGCATGGTGCGGAGATGAAATATGCAGGTTTTTTGATCAGTGTCACAGGCGGCGCGCTCCTCGTTGCTGGGCAAGGTGGTGGCAGGCCCCCATCACCCACTCCTGTCCTCGCTTTTAAGTGCTTTGGGTCCGTGCCCGAGGCGAGGAGCAATCCCCTTGCTGTCAGTTCCAACTTCCTGAGCGCTGGAGTTCCCCATCACGAAAAAAAAATATATAGAAACCTCGCTTTTATTTCATGTATTTATTTTTTGGGGCAGGCAGGAGGATGCGCCATGGAGAAGCATTATCCGAACAGCGCGGTGCAGCTCGCTCGTTCCGGGAAAGGTGCGGGCAGAGCGCTGCCAAGCGAACAATGCCTTTCAAACCCACCTCTGGCAGCCTGCACCGAAGCCGTCAGCAAAACCCCGGCCCTCCCAGCTGCTCAGCGCCGCTGCCTGCCCTTGTGCCAGCCCTCGTGACACGTCCCCGGGTGCTGCGAGGTGGCCGCTGTCAGGCAGGGAGGTGCACGGGGTCCCCTCGCAGTGCTCGACCTCTCCGTTTTGCTGCGTGCCAAATGCAACCGGGATTTTTGGGGAGCCTGGGGGGGGTCCACCCTGGATATCTGGTCCCTTGGCAGCGAGGACACGGGCTCAGCAGGGGCTCGGCGGTGCTGGTTTGGTGCTTCCCAGGCTGTGAGGGATGAGGAGCTGGGGGCAAATTTCCTAAAAACATCCCCGTGCCGGGACTCGGAGCAGCCGGTGCCCGTCCATCTTCCAGCCGGAGCTCCCGGGGCTGCTGTGGCAGGGGCAGGAAGCAAGAGGCAGCTCCATCCGTGGGGCAAAGTCAGCCCTAACGGAGGGAACGGGGCAGGAATTAATTAGGCAGATCCTCAACGGCTGGGAACTCGGCACAAACACCAGAAGCCTGGGGTCCCCTTCACCTCTTGGATCGTGTCCCAGCACCACCGCATCCCCTCCGACGGCAGGGCAGGGTGGCAAACACCCTCTTCATCCTCCTCCACCCTCCTCCTCCTCCATCCAGGCGATGGGAGGAAGAAAGGGATGGGAAAGAGGAGGGAGCAGCGCTGAGGAGCAAAATAGGCAGTGCTACAAAGAGCCCCGAGAAACCACTGGTGCTCGAGGCCATCCCCGCTGCGAGGCCAAGCGGCTTTTTCCAGGCCAGGCAGGGGAAGCCCGGAGGAAAAGGGACAGGGGCGAGGGGAAGAGGGGGCAGCCCCAGGACGTGTGCCCGAGCCCCAGGAGGTTTGTGAGGCTGCCGAGCGTTTCGGGGATGAAAGCTGCCCCGGGGCCCCTCCCAGCGAGCAGCAGCGCTGCGGGCATCGCGTTTGTCTGGCTCGTGGCTTCCTCATTACGCCGAGAAGGAGGTATATATATTAAAAAAAAAAGGCATTGCAAAAACAAAACGAAAAAAAAAGGGAAAACCTACAACAACACAAAACGCAGCGCCGGCTCCAACCCCCCCTCCCCACACCATCTCCACCACCCAACAACAACCAAGAAAGGCAAGATCTTTCCTAAGCCCGGAAGATGTCACCATAGAAACAGAAATCAGAGCCACTCCAAGGATCCTGCCGCCTGGGAAGGCGATAAAATGTTTTCTATCGATTGCTGTCGGGAAAGTCACTGCTGATAAGCCATCCGAGGAGAAATGGAGCAGGGACGCGGGGATGGGGGGGGAGCTCTTCAAAGGAGCCTCTTGACGGGCTCTTGGCTCGCCCCGTGGGGAGCTTGGGGTCTGAGAGGTGCCGGGGGTGGGTGCAGTGCCCCGGGCTGTGTGCGTGCAGAT